GTCGGCATATTTTCGGACATTATCGGCTACAACCTTCCCAAACTGAAGTGAAAATGTGTGAAATGCAGACTTTCGTGTTCTCGATTTGACGTCACGTTACCCGCTAGAGCCATTCCTCTTTAAACTCGGTCGTGGGGCAAGATGGCGGCCGTTTTTCCGTATTTTGACTGGGCACAGAAAATTGAAGATTTGAGCAAATAAAAAAAATTTTGCACAGAAATACTCCAAAAATAAGCTTATTTCGTTAAGCGGAAAAAAAAATTTTGGTTTTTAGGTGCACTTAAATTGACAAGGAAATGTGTAGCAGTTAGAGTGGAGGGGAGAATGTATTTAACAATCAGATCTTGGCAATTAAAGGGTTGAAAGCTAAGACGGCGGAAATCCGAGCTGTCGATAATATTCATGTGCACACTGCGAGGTATTTCCTTTAAGCTCCATATTAACAGTATTTGATCATTAAATTCGTTTGTTTGCAGATAGCGAAAGCGAAAGTGCATCCGAGTTTGAAGACGACGAGGACGAGTGGATGGACTAGGGACAAGGGACTATTGGCGACATAGTATATGAATTACGAATAACGGATATCGAAACGGAAAAACACTTAAATTTCGAATATACTAGTGTAACAGTGTACTCCTTTTATTTTATAAGTAGATTAATGATTTCTAGTGTAGTGTTTGATCTCAGACATCAATTAGGAGCAGACAAGATGGGCTCTTTTCTTACATGCGTGCTAGGGGGGTGAGGTGACGAGAGGTGCAGTGAAGGTGGATACGTGAGCTTTTTGTGAGGTGATTCTTCCCTCGCGCACGCGTCGGCTTCTTGTTCTATCACCTCGCTACAGAAGCTTAAATACCTTTACACAATACACAAACCATAAACGCCAGAGATTGGACTTTGGTTTTCTATCTTGCTGCCATGTTTGTATCTGTGAAAATGACTGAATTTTTTTGTGAGAAGGAAATGTCGCATTTTTCTGTTGATTCTATGAGCTCAGTGAGATTTTGCAGTCGGGGAATCTTCGTTTACACGATTCTACGCATGAGCATAACCTTTTCAATTTCTAATCAATCAACCAAAATCTTGGAATATAGGAAATATTTACCCTTTCCCTGTTGTTCACCTAAAGTTCTCTCAGCCACACGAAGTTAAAAATTAGAAATTTTACAACGAAGGTTTGGGTTCATTGGCACTTTCTCCATCCAGACAATTACCTGTTTGCGATGACGGTATCTCAGTGAGTTCTACTTGCAAGCCACTTCAAATTACACGTATGCCCTTTCAATTTTTGAAATAAATTCTTCCTTAAATCGACCTCTTTTCCTCGAAAACATGTATGGTAATGAAGAAGAATGTTCACAATGAGGAGATTGAGTCGATTTTTTTAATTATTACAATGTGGGTTTCCATTGAATCCTGGTCCATTTAGGTTAATTAAACAATAAAAGTTGTTGGAAAAATTACATTTTTGCCAACTTTACTGACTATTGTGTTGAAGATCCCAAGGAGAATTTTGACTTTGGTCTTTGGTACAAATTGCCTCTCGACAGCCAAACATGCGCGGCGGTGCTCGTGCTCAGGCCTCTGCACTCTATGTTGGCGAGAAGAAATCTGGGAATGAGAAAAAAATACGCGGCGACGTGGAGCGCAAATTCATTTTGTTTATTGATAAGGTGTGACAGAAGTCTTGTAGCTGTCGTTTAAATTACAGCTCGAACTGAAATTTGCGTCCATTCGGTTTGATTTTGTCCAGGTGAGGCAGAGAAAACGCAGCAATGTCGGTGACGGTATTCGTGAAGGTAAGTTACTTCTAGGAGGTCACGCTTCTGGAACTGTGAAGAAATTTAATGCGTGAAGGCAGTATTAAATACACAAAATGTTGTGTTTTGCGTATAGGGCTCTAACGACCATTTTAAAGTTCACAAGGAGCTGGGAGATTGTCCTTCCAGTCAGCGAATTGTGATGATTTTGCGATTGAAAGGTGTCCAGTTCCATCAAGAATTCGTTGATCTGACGAAAAAAGACACAAAAAAGTGGGAAGAGTTTGTACGAAGAACCCAGGGAAGATTGAAACCACCTGTTCTTATCCATGGAGATGTGGAACCAATTGAGGACGCCGACACGATCGTGGGATATTTGGAGGAAACTTTTCGTGAGCCTGATTTAAAGAGTTTGAATGCGCAAGCCAACATCGCCGGCTGCGATTTGTATTCAAAATTCGCTTTGTTCATGCGGAACAGCATCCCGGACAACGATGCTAAACTTCGCGCCGCGCTCGTAAAGGAACTTAAAAAGCTGAACGAGTTTTTAGACAAGGAGAGCCCAGGTGCATACCTAGACGGAGATATGTTAAAGCTACCAGACTGCAATTTATTGCCTAAACTCATGCACATCAAGGAAGCTGGAGAGCTGAAGGATTTTACGATCCCAGAAGAATTTGAAGCCATTTCGACTTATCTGAGAGAGGCTCAAAGACAGAGAGCATTCAAGGAGACATTTATCGAACCGGTTAAGCACGACATAAAACAGGGCTGGCGCAAGAAGATGGGAAATTCTATGAGCAGTAATTCTCGTAGATAAACCTTACCGGAACTTTTTAAATTATATTAACGTTGAACCCTGTGACAACACGCTGAAGGCGCGAATGTTATTACAAAAGAAATCTCAAGCAGTGATCTCTTGAATAACGAAAAGATGCGAGGTCGTTTGAAACCTAGAGTAAATTGTTCGAAACTCGCTGTAAGCGATACTGCTCTTAGTCACGCTTAAAGAGTTGTTCAAATGGTAGACTAACATTTGAATATTAAAAGGTTTCGCTCGTTTTTAATTACTTTTTTTCGGACTAATAAAAATATGAATTAACCGCATGCATTTCTAATTATTTCTCGAAAAACCAGGCGTCTCGAAATAACGAAAATAAAATCATGCAAATGAAAGTGTGGTTTGTTTATCGTATTATATTTGCATACGGGGAAAGAAAAGTCATGAATTGAGGTTTTTTCGGCGCCTCTGGATCACCAATGAAAGTTAATAATCTTCCGTTTTTGCTTCAAGTTATATTCAAAGCCTCGAATAAACTATTATCTTGCCGGGCTGGGTTTTTCAAATCTCATTTAAAACGCTTCCCTGTTTTAGGTGTATTTTCTTTTCAAAGAAACAAAGGTCTTGTATACGAGGCCGTATAAGGACAAATAGAGTGTCTAGAATATTTACTTTAATGATGAACGTGTCTTTATCTCTATTCACCGCGTTAACAATAGCGACTTGGAGAGCAAGGACCAAACTCGCGACTGGCGAAATATCGAACTAGCATTTTTTGTTAACTTTTGGATAGACTGTGAACGACACACATCCCTGGTTTAAGTCGTAAGTTGCAAAGGTTTTGATTTGAGTTGTGGCAGCGTAACTAAGTGAGATATACACTAGACCACAATGACACCCCAGTCTTCTCACTTGGAATATACGAGGTTGCTCGCTAAATTTGTGGCTGCGGTTCCCATTACAGCTGCTTTTAGTTCATTTCAAATCAGAGCAGTGAACTTTGGCAAGCCAGTGGTCTCCTTGCGTCCTAGGGCGCACAGTTGTAGTTGTCTACGGAGAGCGGCGTGCAAATTTGCCCGCTATGAGCGAAAGGTTTGAGATTCTTACAAACAGTGGCTCCTAGATAAAAATAATCTGACCGGTTGAAAGATACCTTTCCAGAAAATATTTCATCCGTGTTTTTTTCAGATATTTAAGGCAATTCTGGAATGTTGGAGGATGTGAAAAGTTCGCTCTGATCATATTTTGAGAGTTTTTAGAGTTTTATTTTTGGGTAGATTTTAATTGCTTGCGTAAGTGATATATTTCACCAGACGTCGATTTGCTGTTGTTTCCCGCTTTTCTTTCTTTCTCTAACTTGCTACCTTCAACTGTTTATTTTTCCAGCCTCTCAGCTTCACCTAAACAAGAAAAAGATTTGCGTAGTTTGCTGTTCAGTAGCGACTATAATTTTCTCTTTTTTATTAATCTCTTCTTTATTTCGTTACAACCCTTCGCCAGCGTACATATAACTATTTTTGCCCTAAAATTTTTTTCAACTGATGCGGTAAAAAACGGAACGCTATTATACCAGTTGTTGTTAAATTGAAAAGGGGTTTTAATGTCTTGCCTTGAAGACACCTTGTTTTTGAAATAACAGCTGGTGCGATTTCTGACAACATGCAAATATAGTGGGACGTCTCACACGAATTATCGTTTTCTTTATGACAAAACCTGGATAAACCAGTGACACTTATGACACTTATGCCAAAAACTGAATTGCATCCTTATGTCTAAAGAGCTCGAAAAATACTTAAGAACCAGTCATTATTAACTTTTTCTTTTTTTTGGGGGGGAGGGGGTTGGAGCATTTCAGGGAGGCAAGGAGACACGGAGAGGGGACCAGTCGTCGCCAACAGAGTAAAAAGGGGGTACTTCAGTAGATTAATCACAGAGCCCTAAGGGGGAAGTAATATTCTCCATTATAGCTCGAGCAAGCAAAGTACTAAGACCATGCAGACTTATTTATTTTGTATTTACCGGCTTTCACAAGAAAAAATACACGACTTGTGACTGTTTCCGTGGGAACGGTCCATATGGCAAAATCCCGATCTAGAAGGAGCCACTCAGATCTTGTGTCATTGGGTCAATTTTTTCAGGGTATGTACCGCTGGCCCCTCAGAACCCTTACCCCTACCCTGTGGTCAATTTTAGACCCCATCCTTATCACGTTTGGGTAAACAGTAACAACCTTTTCACCGAGAATCTTCCCATTTTTAAATGCCTGCTTACCATAATGTTCTTATTCCTTAAATACCAAAAAAATGTGCTACCCCATTCTAGTAGATCTATTGAAATTCAACCCCATTATGGTTAATCCAGTCGTGAGAATAAAACCTCACCCAGCAGCACCCCCCTAAGGAGGGCGTTTACGTGTATTGTTACAGTGGTAACCCTCACTGTGTAAAAGATTCGCCGTTGACTGTTATCATTCTCAAAACAATGCAATTAGCACGAGGTGCATCCACACTGTTTAAGTGTGATGCTGACTTCCTTGTTGTAGGTTCCGTTCTTGATCGATACTGAATCTGACACCTCTCTTAACCATTGGATCGAATTCAGAAGAGAACCTGCTAAAACAATGAAATACTTTTATTTATTTGAAGTTTGAATTCGATCCGATTGGTTCGCGGATCTTCTCACCTCTGATAGGCTTAAAATGTGACGCTTGAGTGGTGTATTGAATGGGTTTCAAAAAATATACTGGTGGCCTTCCAAATATAAACAGGTGGAACAGATTTCGACGAAAACGAATTTTCCCAACGGAAAGAAAACAACCCCTGGCTGTAAAATGGCGGGATGTACTCACAGAAATTACCAAGAGGATGAAAACTGGCAAACAGAAAAAAAAAACATTGTCGAGCGAAATCGTCACATGTTCAACAATGAACTTATGAGTGATGTGCATTTTCTCGTCGGAAAATGTGACAAGTTGAGGATTCCAGCGCACAAGTACGTGATGGCGATTAGTAGCCCCGTATTCTACGCCATGTTTTACGGCAGGATGGCTGAACAGGGGAAAGAGGTAAAAATCGGGGACTGCGAAGCGGGCAGCTTTTTAGAGCTGCTGAGATACATTTATTACGATGAAGCAAAAATCGATCCATCGAACGTGTTCGGCATTCTGTACCTGGCCAAGAAATACATCCTCCCATTTTTAGCTGAGAGGTGCGTGGATTTTCTAGAAGAGAACATCGACCATCAAAATGCATTCACTTTACTTGCGCAAGCGCGTTATTTCTGCGAGCCAAAATTGGAAGAGAAATGCTGGGAAATTATCGATAGGGAAACAGCTCGAGTTTTGTCGTCTGAGGCGTTTACCGAAATCGATCATCAGACGTTGCTAGCGGTGTTGACACGTGACACTCTGACGGTGCTCGAAGCGGATCTGTTTAAAGCAGTAAAACGCTGGGCTGAAGGGGAATGCAATCGTAAAATTCTTCCACCAACACCAGAAAATAAACGGAGTGTACTGTCAAGCGCTCTGAATTTCATTCGCTTCCCAGTGATGACTCTAAAGGAGTTTTCAGAAGACGCAGCACAATCCGGAATTCTCACTTCTGAAGAAACGATCAATATATTTCTTTACTTTGGCTCCAAAGATGATACTAAAGTCAAGAACTTTTTGACACAACCTCGTCCCGGAGCTCACAGGGTTTATCGTTGCACGCGGTTCCCCACTTACGGTCAAGATTGGCTTTGCGAAGGAACAAACGTTGATAGTATAAAATTTACCGTCGATCGTGATATAACTGTGCTTGGTGTTGGTCTCTACGGAGTGAGTAACAAAGAAGACTGTTCAAGTCCTTTCAGCGTTGATGTAGAGCTTCTAGATTCGCATAATGATGTTATGTGCACTTACGAGGGAACGTTCTTTGCCGATGTCAACAAACGCGTGCATGACATTCTCTTTGATGAGCCCGTCATCGTTAGGGGTCATCGTCCGTACATCATCAGGGTCTTACTCAAAGGACCGACCACGTTGGGGGGTACGGACGGGATGAGAGATGTTGTAACTGAAGGAATAAGATTTAGATTTGACGTTGATGAAGCTAGCTTCAATGGCACCACGACAGCTGATGGACAAATTCCAGATATTGTGTTCAAAATTTAAAAACGAGAGGGAAACGGTCGCATAGGCACTGGAAGCAAAAATAGCTTTTTTCCAGTTTTTGCGTAAGGTCATTATTTGTCGCTTACGAGGGGGGAAGTGTCACAATAAAATCTACTTGATTCTCCTATTGCTCTGTAACATCTTTAGGATCCCCCCTAAATGGGGGTCAATTTTCTACAGTCCCCTCTCCGCTCCCCCTGAGAACCATCTGATCCCTTCCCCCCCCAAAAAACAAATCCTCCACTTTCCCCTTTCTTTACCTCTAGCTCTGTTTTGGAGCTTAGGAAGGGGGGGCAGGGTAGGGTTGGAGAGTGTTGAGAAGGGGGAGGGGGAGTGACGTACCTAAGATTTTTCAGATGAGTTTTTTCTTCATAAACCTAATAAATGTCGTGGATTTGATGATGTATGTTTGTCAGATTTGTTCGAATCATTTCAATTTGCGATGTTAGCCGAAAAGAGAACATATTATTAATAAGGTGTTCGCTGATAGCACTGTAACTTATAATATGTAAATAATATAAATTTAGTTTTTGTTCGTACGCCATATTGTCCTAACGTTTTCTGTTATCCTTTCCTCACCTGTCCATACTTTCTGGAAGTCTAACGGAAGCAAATTACTGTGAAAGAATTTTTTTATTTATGAATCTCTGTAGTTTAACTTTCAGACTTTCAAAAGAATATGTTCATTTTGAGTTTATCCATCAGTTTCGACAGAAACAAGATTTCACTATAGATCTTGGTTGCAGTTTATGGTTTCATAGCTCCGTTCGTTAAGCATAGCTCGGTTCAAGTCAGTTGGAAGCCCCCGGCTTTCATAAACTTGTTGTTGGAAATTTTATTTGTGAAGGCAATTACAACGGTCCATCATAAGATAGGAAATACCTTTAAAAGCCAATAAAAACTTACAATGAAATCAACTAAACGGCTTAAAGCGCAGCAAAACGCCAACGAACAAGTCGTGATTGGTTTTTGGTTTACATTTGATTGGTTGTAAGGGTGCATGGTGCAAGTTTTTTAGACCAATCACAGAGCGAAGTAAAGTTTAAACAAAACAATCCCGAATTCCTTTGGATACTCACTCGAATTGCTTTTTAAAACAATTCGATTTTAAATTCAATTCGGTTTTAAAAAACCGATGATAGGTTGGAGTTAGGTTGTAACATTTGTACGAGGTCACTGAACTTCCAACGTATCAGATTACACAAAACATAATTTGGAAAACTTGTTTTCGCAGACGGACGAAAACCGAAGAACTCTCTTTTTTTCTCTGACAGAATAGAAGTTAACTGCCCGCGGAAACAGTCATAAAAGAGCGCCTTCAAATTAACCATGACGTGAGCTCACACGAGGCTAAAGGAGAAAGTTTCACGCTATTTTACGTGAAACGTGAAAGGACAAGCTGACGTTTGCCGTTTTACATAAATGCCGTGCTAAATCTCTCTATTAAGAAACTTAACCCGCCTGTGTCATCAGAATCCCAAGATCGAACCTGAGCCATGGGGATGGAAGGCAAGAGCTTTCAAGATTGTGATATTTCTTCCACCCTAATTGTGTTTTATTAAATAAGTATGTTACTTTTTCTCTGTTCACTCAAGGTCCAGCTTTAATTCATAAATACGATAAAAAGTAGTAACTCATGCGTAGAATTTGTATTATTACAGAGCTGTCAAAACTTACGGGTGTTCTTTTCAATGACGACAAGCCTGAGTTCACACGGTTATTGACTCCTCGCTGGCGAGAGGGCCCAAAATAACTTTTCCCAAAATAGGGGAGGATTATTGAACTGCCTTTTAACTTTCGCTGCCGAATTTGATGGCCTTTTGATCCTCTTCGATGTCTAAGTACGTGGATTTGTGGTTATGTTCGTTCGATGGATGGTTTTTGTACTTCTCCTTTTGCCTTTAGCATCGAGCGCGGCGGCTCCGCCAAAAATTAAACAGAAAAAGTCTACGATGCTGTCATTTGATTTACGTCGAAAGACCAAACATCACAGGCATAGAAACACTACTGCTGTTGCTACAACACCTGCGCCTACATCAGAAAGCGGTCAAGAAGAAATTGAATTCACTCTTCGCGTATGTTGTTTTATAATTGTTTATTTTTACGTGATTTTGCGTGAACATGTAATACGACACCCAAACGCGCCTAACGATTTATTTTTCTCCGTCAGCTTAATTTTAATTTGCACGTTTCATATTTGACTATTTTCGTGCACAGTTATTTCCATCATCGTTTTTACCCTAGTTTTTTTTATTTTTTATTTGTTTTCCTTTAGAGTACCTCGTATGCTTATGTTATTGAGTTGGATCTAGGCACTCCCCCACAACGGGTAATGTATTTGTTCATCATGAGAACACAAATAAAATGTTTCTTCGCTTTAATCGTTATCACTAGAACTATATTGTTTAACAGACAAGCCAGTCGCGAGAGAAGGGAAAGCTAGCTGCTAGATAACTTAAAGGCGGAAAGACGTTGGCCAGTCGATGAGTGCACTGGGCTCTTAAGGGCGGATCCAGGATTATTGATTGGGGGGAGGGGGGAAGGGTTCCAAACAATGATCACCACACATACATTTCAAATTACAATAGCTCTGAGAAACTCGTTTTTAAATAGGCAGTGTTTCCCAGTTTGTGCTTTTCTTTCTTTTCGTCACCTTTGTGCTTAACAATATACTTAAACGTCATCTTTTTCGCTTTATAAAACAATGGAGGAATTATTCTCACGCATAGATCGAATTCAATGTACGAATCTTACTTATGTAAATAAGGCCTGACTTTTCCATTACCCTTCTTTAAGCTGGAGTTTTTGATTGATACTGGGTCTTCCAACATGGCTATCGCAGGTAAGATGTCTTCTAAAATATGAAAAAAAAAAAACGGATTTCGTACTGCCGCGCATGAAAAAAGTTTAATCGAGTGTTGATAAGTTCTTTAGCGAGCGAGCGAAGTGAGATATTTTTAACTTAAGTCTAAAATATAACATCGCTAAGTCCGCTGAATATATTTTCGGTCTTATAAAGTACTTTCAACTTTTGAGGTCTTTTTTATCTTCTTGCAGCGTATTTTCAGCCTATTGAAAAAGAAACCTTAGTTAAAGAGATCGTGTGGCCTGGCCAATGTCAGTTTCTGAGGAGCTGTGCACCCACCCCTCCCCTAACCAACCATCAACCCTAACTTGTTTTCATCAGACTATTAGACTATTGTTGGGTTAGGGAAGGGGAGGGATGGGTGCACAGTTGCTCAGATTCTGACACTGATCCATGTGGCCTTGGCTGTAACTTTTCAAACAGATTGTGGCGGCTGGTCGACGCGCGACCGTCGCCTGGGTTCCCATACAGGACATCTGTATGGGAACCCATACCGCCTCCCCAGTTAGCTCAATGGATAGAGCGCTGGACTGTTGTGCGGGAGGTCGAGGGTTGATGCCCCGGCCGGACCAACACTGAAGGTCTTAAAATAATTGAGTAGAATATGATACCTTTCTATAACATCAAGTGATGGTTAGATATTCTACTCTTCTCGGATAGGGACGAATAAATGGAGGTCCCGTCTCCTACAGGGTTAGGGGTAGGAGACGTTAATTTCCTATGCACGAGATTACTGTGTGATGGATGTCCTCCCCTGGGGCGGGATGGGTGGGATTTATTGGGTGGAATACTCGCATGGTTCGCATTTGTTCCGTTCTAGTCCTACCCTACTGCGGTGATGCAGTGGAAATGGTTAGAAGAAAATCAACATCTAAGTTTTTGTGCATGCGCAGTGGCGGCATCTTCGAACGGTTCCACGAGATCACCGAGTTAAAATCTCTCTCTATATATCGTTCAGTTTTTCTCTATTTTTGGTTTCAAAGTTGCATTAGATACTGTTAGACTGATTGCTAGTTTTCTCTAAGCCTTGCGAAGAATTTTTAATTAAAAGTTTTGATTTTATATGGTTTGTCACCGTTCGCGGCAACACAGATAGTCACTCAAAGGGGGCAAGAGCGTGAAGCCAAGGGATGGCTACGCCCTTCAACTTACACCTTTGCCTGGGAATTTGAGTGCCTGCGCTTAAAACAGTAGTTGTCATATGATAAACCCTCTTCGTTGTTTCCCACTTCTAAAGGCCCAGAATGTCAAGATGAAATGGATCATAAGTGCCAGATAGAGACCTTTTATCATCCAGAGAAGTCCAATACATCGATAGATCAACATATTCCAGTGAGTGCTTTTGTGCAAATATTCCATCTTAAAGCTGAAATTTTGACATATTATAGAGAGTCAATATTTATCGCCTGGGAGGGGTGGGGGAGTCTAGGATTTTCTTAGGGAGGGTTACATGGCTTTCAGGGGGAACAGAGAGGGGATTAGTAGTAGCCAACAGGGTATAAAGGGGGGAGGAGAGCTATAGAAAACTGACGACCAATAAACTACATATCATGCAGGGGGAGGATCGCTTAAATGTAACAGAGCCCTAGGGTGGGATCAGGTATATTTCCTCGTGACACAACCAAAATCCTCCAACACCCTCTGGTGATAAATAATGACCAATCCCTTATTCCAAGGGATTTCGTTGAGTTCTTATTTTAACAGTCACTCGGTATATGAAATATTATGCTGGTGTCACAGACCTATGGCTTGTTTCTACTGAATGACGATATTCTTACCTGTGTTGCAGATCGAAACAGAGTACGGGAAAGGGGCGTGGTCAGGGGATATTTATCGCGATGTTGTTGCCTTCCCAGGCGAAGGTAAGATGGATTTTACTCCTACCAAGTTAAAAAACCACAGGGTAAAGGAATTTTTGATATAAGTGATATCTATTAGGAGTCCAGCATCTTTCGCTTCTCTACTTACTTTTCTTGCTAGTTGAAGTTGCAAGACAAACAAGTTAAGAAACGAGGATTTTCCACTTTGGGAGCCAAGCTCGTTCCCAGGGCCTTTTCCCTTAGTTGGGGGCTGCACCACCCCCCCCTCACCCCCAAATAAGGGAAAAGGCCCTGGGAAGGAGGTTGCTTTGGGGACGCTTGGGTTGAAGACAGTATATCTCCAGGTTTTAGTTTAATTTCAGTCAGGTCATTTTTCTCGGTTATTTCACATCGTATGGGCAACATTTTTCTCACTCTCCCATTCCTCTTCTAAACTTAAGCCACCGTTATTTCCATGCTATTTAAAAAGGTCAAGTATGGGTCACTAAAGAAGAGAGGGGGGAGGGGAAGGGAGGGGGTGATGGAAGGAAGGAAGAGGAAATAGACTGGTTACGAGCTTGAAAGATTTGTATGGCGTGTTCAGTGCTTAAGGAGATTCTTTTCACATTTTTGAATCCTTTAGGTCCGAGGACGACAGCTGAATTTGCAGTCATAAGGCACGAAAAAGACTTCTTCCTTAGTAAGATGGAATTGAAGCAACAGTTCTTACAATTTGTTTTAAAACGTTCATGCAGGAAAATCTGTTTGCATGCAATTTGAAATAATCTTTAATTGCCTGTTACGGTCGTTCAAATTGGTTAAAGCGATGGGTTCTGAGTTTTGGTCGTTGGTGAGGTTTTTTCAAGATTTCCACGGGGCACAGAAAACCTGGAAAGTCATGAGAAATTATAACGTCATTTTTCAGACCCAAAGAATCACAGAGAAGTCGCTGGGTCACAAAAAGATATAAAACTTGCCTGAATGGCCGTGTACTCATTATTTTCACCTCTCGATTATTGGTCAGGAGTTAGCTATATACAAACTCTAAGCAATTATTGGATGAAGTTGAGCATGATATCATGAATTATAAAAAGCGAGGTCCTATTTATCTGGAGAAGCTGAAGACTGAGGCAGTTAACAAAATTTTTTTCAAAAATCTACAAAAGAAGACACTTTTATCTGAGTCTGCAAAAGTTTGAGAGCTATTCTCGCCCAGAGGGTGTACTCGATATATTCCTGGATGGAGAGGTGCGGCGCGGCCCCTCATACCCTGACCCTATTTAAGACGAATATCGCTGATTTTCCTACCCTGATTAAGACAGAATTCCGATTTTTGATACCCTGTTTAAGACATTTAATGTACCAGGTATCAATGCCAAAATCAACGGAGTTCAATATTAATTAAAATTAGAGCTTGTAAGCCTGTTTAAGACAAAAATTGATTATAAGATAGCCTGTTTAAGACAAAAATTGATAAATCGATACCCTGATTAAGACAAAAAATGATAAATTCGATACCCTGTTTAAGACAAATATCTCGAAAAACATACCCTGGCTGGCCGCACGATCCATTAAGCCCTTATAAGGGAGTTCCTCCCCCCCCCCGCGAGATACTCGCGTTGACTAGAGGCTGGGAAACTAGGCATACTTCGACATCAACACGATGAATATAATGTCCGTGGTAGATACTGCATTTATCATATTTCAACGTCACGTGTTATTGTATATTGATTGAATGCTCTGGACCAATCGTGTTTTCAAATCAAGTCTAATGTATAGTAATGTATGTTATAAGAAAAAGGATCAGTTTTGTAAATAAGAAACTGCAGGTCACGGACGGGCATCTTCATGTCGAAAAATTCTCTTGGGTCTTCCTACTATTATAAGACGGACCATGTTGAAGAGATTTCAAAACTTACCACCTTTTCGACTTCGTTTTTCTTCTTTTCAATGCAGGAAATTCTATAAATGAGGGGATTCTTGGCCTGGCGTATAAAACTCTGGCGACTGATGATGTACAGGTACTTTATAGTTATCACCATTGCAAATATTTTCTGTTTCAAAAAAATCCTGTTTTAGAGCTTTTTCTTGTTAAATGGCTTTTTAAAGTGTTCATTTACCCACCTTAACAGAAGGATCTTCGAATTTGGTTGTGTCACGATGAAATTCACCTGATCTCCCCACAGGGCCATGATATGCTGTGATCTCTCCTCTCCTTGGCAGTTAATTGGCAGTCAACTTTCTATATTCCCCTTTTGTACTCCGTTGGCGACGATTGATCCCCTTCTGTTTCCCCTGAAAACCATGGTATCCTCCAAAATCCTCACCCTCCCCCCCTAAGGTGTTAAATAACAACCTGTTCCCCAGCTAAAAAAAAAAATTATTCACATTTTTCTCTTAGCCATTGTACGATCAGCTCGTCCAGGATAACAAAGTTCCAAACGTGTTTACTCTTGGGCTGTGTAATGGAATGGTAAGCAAACTTGATCTTTAGAATGTAGTTGTAGTGTTTTTGAGGAAGCTTACATGTACATAAAGACATATGAATAAAAGGGGTAAGTTTCTAAAGAAAATGTGGCTCTGCGTCGGCGGGGGAGTATGACAAGGTAATTTTGGGTTTTATCAAGTGAGTTGTAATGTAAATTGGCCACCGTAAAGAGTTTCAAAGCTTAAGTTTCGAGCGTTAGCTCTTCGTCAGAGCGCTCTGATCAGCTTTGAAAACGTCAGCTTTGAAACTCTATATGCTGGCCAATTTGCATTATCGACACGGTTGATAAAATCAAAATCACCTTTACATATACCTACTTTAATTACATTATGATATTCACTTTCGAAGGCGCTCAATATTTCCGATGGGTTCCGACGAGTTACAACACAACCTCGTCCCTTGTTCTCACCCGATATATTTCATTTCGACGATAACTCGATCATTTGCGTGATCGCGTGATCCTCGCCATCTCTCTTTGATCCTAGTTAATTCGACTTGATGTCTGTTTCCCAAAAATGTGCTTCTTTGAGAACGATTGTCCGTAAATATGAGCTAATGTGATATCAACAGTTAAGATTCGCAGGAGTTGGTGTTCAGGTGGAGATTTTTTTTTAACTATAAACATTTTTTTTTCCCAAATAAGGGTAAAATCTGGCTGGACGCTCCAGAACCGTCGGCGTATCGCGGGCCCATTCACTACACTAACATCAACCAGGAGACGTGGTACAGCGTTTCCATGACAGGCATTGTGAGTGAGTCTAACTTTATGTATGACAATCTGACGAATATAATGTCAGAGGACACCGATTGTTTAAAAAGTAATTTGGATATATCAACAAAGTTGAAATGGTAAATTGGCCACCGTAACGATTACAAAAAGCCATGTCTGTCATTTTTATGGGGAAGTTACTTGTTATCAGACACGGTTTGATGCTACTCTTGTTTAAAGATTTAATGAATGTCACTAGGGATTTTACAATTCATCGATCCAACGTTTCGATGCTCATCAGGGGTGAACTGATCGTTGGAACAAGAGGCCCTCTTGTATGCTCACTAATTGTCCACCTGGTTGCTATGTGAGATTTAATATATCTTATCCTTGTACTGGACCTAGATTTCCTGGTTTGAGTCTTGCTAGTATAACACCTCAAATAAACGCCCACCCCTCAGGCCATATGGTCAAACAAGCACCCCCCCTTCCCCCCCTCGAATAAGTACCCACTCTTATCCCTCACTTTCTTAAATAGTAGAGATAAAGCAAAACATGTTTCCTTTGTAATTTTCTTAACAAGTTTTTGAGCCTTAACTACAGAGTAATATCAGTATAGGAGAATTTTTTATTTCGTTCCAGTCATTTTCAACTTCAAGTGCTTGTAGGGTTAGTTTTATATCTGTTATCTGTTCTTTAATATTTGTTATTTTTGCCGCAGAATTCAATCAGCTAATTTGTTCTGCTTTCATATTCATTTTTCAGGATGTTGCTGGCAATAGTCTTGGCCTTTTACCCCCTAGTTTCTCAGCCGCCATTGTTGACAGTGGTAAGTAAATCCACGATGTGCACATTTTGGTTTTAAAATAATATAGCTAAAAGTGTTCTCGAGGCATGAATGGCCTCGAAGACGTCGACCCAAGGAACGAATTAAGTCGATGATGTTGAAATTGTGCGATTTTTCCATAAATTATATGTTAAACTGTCCCACACGCTTGATACTTTGTACCTATCAAGTTTATTCTTCAAGTTTTACTTTACAAACCCTGGCTCCTAGGCGCCTCCAGCTACTGCAAAATGTATTGTGCACCAATGAAATAAGGCGTATGATTAGTGTGTATCGGCTGTTGGCCACCATATCTCTTTAGCAAGCCCACTGACATTTCATTATTTCTTCCTTTTTAAGGCACAACGGATATTTTATTACAACCTGAGATTTATGCGGCTGTTATAGCACAACTGAAGGAGGTACGACATTGTTTATTTTTTGTAGACAATTAACTAGCCAGATGATCCTCTGGATGTAGCAAGACTAGCAAAAAGGAGTTAGTCCTAAAGATACCTGGTGTCTGGTCCACTCACCCTTTTCATTTTAGGAGTTTCGTCGACGTAGCAGTAATAAATAAGCACTAATTAAGATTCCGGGTTTAGAGGTCCATTTGAAACCTGGGTCAAGTTAATTGAGTTGTGTTCCTGGGAAAAAACTTAAATGTCTCTCCACCCAGGAGAGAATACCCCCCTCCCTCCCCCCTCCCCCCCCAAAAAAAAACTCTAGCGATATGGTAGAGGTGGGTGGGGGCGAAGGGGGTATGCAGTTAATCGCTCCATGTAATGAAATGCGTTTGAAGCGTTGGTGGTTATTTTTTACAAAGCCAAACTAAATTTCTCGACTGTTAATGTGTTTTTGTCTGCCTTTTTTCCTTTTTCATGTCAGCGTGGTCCTCCGGTCGACGAACGCTTCTGGAAGAGTTACTGTGTTGACACAGACCCCTATCAATGGCCTTACATTACTATTTACCTGAAAGACATGAGTAACAACAGACGTTTTTTTTTGTTTCTATAAGAAACCTCAGAAAATGCCTGCTTTTATAGCAATCACTTTCCTTTTATTTCATGGGTGACTTTATAGGAGCTTTAGATTAGCCTCTATAAGATTCTACTTCACAACTCATCAAATTCTTGGTCGTCTGCTCCAAGTCTAGATCAGAGCATGCTCATATATCACGAAACGCACAAAGATAAAAATTATTAGGGCCGTTTATATGAGGAAAATTATCCGCGGTTTATAATCCAGCGCGAGTGTCGTGCTAGCGCTTATTAGAGAGATTTAGGAAGAGGACGGGAACGTCATCTCAGAACGGAAGAGCATGCGGAATAGTCTGGACAAGACACCATTCGACTTCCGGTGTTAGCGTTGTCGTCAATTGTACACTTGTAAATCGATCCAAACGAGATAATACTGTTTGGAAGTATTTCAATACTCATTTTCAAGATAATTGGATCCCTTTCTTCGTTTTAATGAGTGTATTTTTGAAAACTTGTCGCTTCAATATGCTGGATTCCCGAAAGGAAAATTGGAACACAATGGTTGGTAAGCGATCCAAGATTTCAGGACTCAGTTTGCTTTTGAATGAGCAAGGCTTTAGACGATAAAAGAGCTTTCCTTTAATATATTTCTTTAAGCCTATGTGAAAACTCTAAGAATGGGATGCTGTTGAATGTTATCGTAAATCGATTCATCAATAACCAAGCTGCATGTTGAAGTTTGGAGCAGTCAATCAAATGAACAATCACGAAGCTTACATACCGTAAAATTGTTTTATTTGTTGTCGTTGTCGTTTTTACCGATCATGAATGAATGCTTTGTGGATTGAAGTCAGAGATAAACAATTTGAGAATTTTCTCGGGTTTGCACTTTTTTATGTCTTAAACTTTTTTAATCAGCGCCGATGAAAACAAGAAAGTTG